TTTAACCATGCGGTTATGTTACGACGAACATGCTGCGGGGCAACTTCGTGCTGATACCACATTGGTACTCTCGTTGCTAACAAAATTCCATTTCACGAAACTCAAAAAAGGAAAAAGAAACATTTGACCTGACTTTTACACAAAAAAATGGTAGTAACGATAACAACCGTATAACACATAACTTTGACAAACTACCTTCCAAGTAACGTCAAGTTGGTATCAAGGCCTTATATTTTATTTTGAAGCTAATTGTATCTCCGCTCTTCATGAATGATCTAGTGTAATTTGTTTCATTTATATTTTTACGAAAACAGTGCGCGCTAGGAAAAAACTCAAGAGTAATTCTTTGTAGCAAATTGAAAGTAAAATTCGCGTTTCAAACGGTGGCGTACTATTTTCGTTTGGAAAAATATTGCCACCAATCCCCTGAATCTCCGCCACCGATGCACGTTAATTTCAAGTAAAGACTTTTGAATGTGGGCAATACTTAAAGTGTATCTAACGAAGCTACAAAGTAATCGTAAACAGTGGTTGATTCGTGATCAACGCGTGATCGGTAGCCATGGCGCTCTGTCGGCCTCTTCCTGATTGGCTTGTAGCGACGAGCCTCCAGACAAAGTCGCACGGTTGCCACGCTGGTTGATCACATTCGCATGGATCACAAATCAATCTGTTGGTGCAATACGTGCAATAACTGTTGTAAAGGACATTATATAACAATAAATGGCATCACAAAGGTATATTCCAATTTGATCTGCAGCAAATTATGAACGGCATATACGGAGATGCGAAAACAAGCTCAAAAAGGTGAAGAAAATTTTTGTGCAATCTTTATAGTTAAATTTTTCCTAAGAGATAGCATCAGTGAGGGAATTTTTTTCTATTGTCTTATTTTTCACATTAATGCGATGTCGAGGTATGTGGCCCTATCGCAATTGAAAATAAGGTTTCGATAATCCTTCCATAAAGTTTCGATGAGTACATCTGAAATAACCTTGAGATATTCTTCAGGGAAATACAAAAATCTCCTTTTGTGTTTTTTTGTGCAGATTTATCTATTAAAATCCTATCCGCAATCTATTTTCCGGGCACACACCTTCAACCGAATGTATGCCATATATGATATTACCGTTTCCAACTTTCACCAAGGTTAATAGGAACCATAACAGCTCCCTACCCTTCCCCCGTATAAGAATATCGATTTGTAGCCTCACATTTCAAGGTTAGACTTCTTGTAATGTTTCTGTTCAACATTCGGCGATTTCTGACAATTTTCCCAATAAAACATGATCATTGTGACATTAAGCCTGGCAACGCTGCATAGTAGAGGGAACTCTCAGCGTCACGTTGATGGTTCGTCACCACGCACAGGATTGTAATCAGTCACGGATACCCGTTTATGAGCGCGAACGTTTTATGCACGTCTTGACTTGATTTTTCTTGCGGAAATTTAATATTAGTCTAAAATGTCTGACACAGATACAGCTGATGAAGTGGTTGAAATAAGCTTAACGCCACCCAGCAAAAGGGCTAAAAAGCTTCATCTTAGCGTAGGTGAAAAACAAATTATTCTAAATATCTACAAGAACCAGATGCAAGAGAATAGTGGATTGGCTATAGAAAATATCGTATGTAAGGTTGCTGAAATTTCTGGAGTAGGTCGATCAAGTGTTTACAAAATCTTGAAGGAATATAGACAAAATCACTCACTCTCTGAGCCAAAAACATATCCAGCGAGAAAAAAAATCTAAGAAAAAATAGATGACTTTGACAAAAGTGCCATTAGAAGAAAAGTACATCACTTTTTCTTCCATGAATGAAATACCTACAATAGATAAAATATTGAAGCAAGTGAATGATGATGAGGACCTGCCAAATTTTAAAAGATCTACGTTCCATAAGCTGTTGAAAGAACTAGACTTTCGATTTTTGAAAAGAGGAAGGAATAGTTTATTGATAGAAAAGGAGGAAATTGTTATCTGGAGTAGAGAATACCTTAGAAAATTTAGGCAATTCCGCGCTGAAGGAAGAAAAATTTATTATTTAGACGAAACATGGGTGAACGCGGGGCATACGCAGGGAAAGGTTTGGGTAGACAGATCTGTGAGGTCCTCAAGGCAGGCTCTTTTAGATGGCCTTTCGACGGGATTGAAAAATCCTGCAGGTAAGTTTCGAAGTATATGAACTTTTTTGGATGCAGATAATTCATTTTCTGATCGAATCAATGATTTGGAAGCTCCGAACTCAGTTTTGCTATCTCATCCAAGTTTCTGAGTATTTCCTTCACCCAAAAACTAATCTAAGACCCTATCCTACACTATCCTAAAAAGAGTAAGTTGCTTAATTTCGTCATTTAGTGCGCTCGCTGAGAAGTAAAATAACTAATTACTTTCAGGCAAGGGAAAACGCCTGATCATTTGCCACATAGGTAGCGTAGATGGATTTGTTCCTGAAGCATTGTGGGCATTTGAATCCAAAAAAACTGGAGACTATCACGAAGAAATGGATGGTCATTTGAAAATTGGTTCAAAAAAATGTTGCCGACACTTGATGATAACGCAATTATTGTGATGGATAATGCCCCGTACCACTCCAGAAAATTGGAAAAAATTCCAACAATGGCCACCAAAAAGGCAGACATTCAACAGTGGCTTGTCTCAAAGAAGATCGGCTTCGACCAAACAATGGTCAAAGCTGAGCTGATAAATATAGTCAAGCGACATAAGTATAAATATGATTTGACGAAATGGCCAAAAACCAAAATAAAATGATTCTCAGACTGCCTCCCTATCACTGCGAACTGAATCCTATCGAGTTGATTTGGGCCGACATCAAGCATCAAATAACAGCACTTTTAAGTTTTCTGACCTTAAAAAACTGTTTGATGTTGCTGTCGATAGAATTACGCCAGCAAAATGGAGAACATGTATTGACCATGTCCAAGAGAAGGTTGAAACCAAAATGTGGGATATGGACAATATCATTGACACCCAAGTTGAACCCCTTATAATTGATATCAACAATTCTGATGATTCAAGCTCCTCGGAATACAGCATATAAATCGATTGATACCATTAAGACTGGCAGTTTAACGGGCTTTTTGGCAAGACAGGAAAGTTCATTATAGACTGCAATCAAAGTGTAAGTTTCTAGTTATTAATGTGGAAATTCCAAATTTATAATTACACAAAATTAGGGTTAATTTAGGAGTTCCAAAGCATAATAGTGCCATTTTGACCTTCTTCCTATTTCTCATGTAAATTTTAATAGCAATCAAACTAACAAACTTTATGGAGTCTGTAATAAACTTTTGTACTACTACTACTACGTCTGTAGTTTCTATTTGCTCAAAAAAATTTGCTCTGCATTGTGAATAGAAGGTTGATTTGTAAATATTATTGGGTATATATGTAAGTTAATAATAAAATATGAACAATTTCAATTGAGATGGTCCACAAGTTTTTTTCGTGTGCGTTTTAGTAACATTTTGCTGAAATGGTGAATACAGAATTTTTTGCACTGATTCCTAATGTCGAAATATGATTAGAAAGGCGTGGTATATTCTTGATAATTTACTACGCTTTTGATAGAATTTACAGCAACACATATCTTGTTTTTGATAGATCAGTCACAATAGCTTGATACGGCCCTGTAGCGTCTCCTACGGTTAAGTTCTTGATCACGTGCAATACGGGTGTATATGTTTAATTTTACTTTGTTTCTTCGATGGATACAGTTTAGATAAATCCACATACCAAAATTTAGTCCATTCCAGTTGATGGTTAAGGAGATAACCAACTAATACTTTTTTATTTTTAAACTTCAACAGCTTTGATCTTGCGGTTCTGTGTGTCATTTTTGTTTACGATTTGTGAATCACCCTGTATAGGTAGAGAAAATTTGTATAAAATGCATTTTTATTTTTATTATGCATACGTTATAACTTGCAGCAGTATATCCAGAACAAAAGTCATGAAAGCCTTTTGTTGTAAAGCACTTAACCAATAGGTACCATAGGATTATCATGAATAAATTAAAATTGTCCGGAATATCGAAATGAAAATCTATTTTGGTGAGGTTGAAAACAGCAAGCTCTCTGTTGGAACTGTATCCCAGTTCGAATTGTCCATTGGATCGCCACTGTGGCTGCCAGATACCATCTATTCTGGTGCTATCTGAAGAATGGCCTATTCTCCATTGAACAAAGAAGTAATATAGCTTTCTTTCGTCGAATCACATTCAGCCAACCATTGACAGCTGGTTCGTGCTATTTGATAAATCCTTAGCATGTTCTGGGCTTGGTCTCGAAAGAACGTCAATATAAGGTCTATCGTATCTACTAAAGCACCAGGCAGCATCTAGCGGCCACAGTTTACAACGCGAACTGGAATACAATTCCAACAAACAGTTTGGCGTTTTCATTCTCGCGTGGTCGACTCTTGACGATACTGGGGAGTTATCAAATAGCGCGAAACAGCTGTAGTTAGCCGTTTCTGGTCAACCGAACGAAAGCTATATTGCTAGTTTAGCCAGTGATGTTATAAACATTAAGAACCTATACGCATATGAAAGCTTAGAATAGCTAAGAGTTAGGAGATATGACGAAGAACATATGCCATATTCTTAGCATCGTGCTGTATGCTCTAGTGGCTTAGAGGCGACAGTCTACTTGTCTTTTCGAGAGATAGCGACATCCCGAACTTGATTAGTGATGTGGCTACGGTGAGTAAAACTGTGTTATATCTGCTACGAAAAAGGGTCCAACATTATATACAATATTTTATTTTGCTTGAGTAAGTTTGTATTTTGTATAACAATACTGCTCAGGTGCTTGCTTCCATACAAAATTTTTATTGAGTATCCCTTGATAAATTTTTTTTAAATAATTTAAGAATCGATAGTCCGATATGAATGAAATTTGGATATATACGTTTTGTTACATGTTCTAATACATTCGTTCGTTTTCTTTTTGTTGTGATACTGAAAAGAAAAGTGAGGTTATGGCAACAAAAACTCGAAAAAATGAAAAATGTGATTCTGCTTGGGAGTTTGATGAAAAGCGATTGAGGGATCTTATCAAGGAGTCTTTTCTGAAATACTTAGGACCAGTAGAGCAGAAAATTGAAAGCAAAATCAAAGACCTGAGTGAATCTATTCAATACATGTCAGACTCTTTTGAGGATCAAAAGCGGGCATTGGAAAAAGTGTCTTGTTGGAAAATAAGACACTAAAAAAGTAAACTGCGGACTTGAAGAAGAGACTTCAGATGTTGGAAGGGAGAGTCGAAGCCTTTGAGAACAAGGAAAGGATCAAGAATTTGATAGTAGCAGGAGTGCCAAAACAAACCAATTTAGACAATAAAGGAAGTATAATGAAGATTTTTACAGCTATGCAAATACAAACTACAAACATGGTAATGGAGAGTTTTCGATTGGACAAAAATGGTGAAGGACCTATCTTGTTAAAAATGCAAAGTGAGCAGGCAAAAAGGGATGTCATCAAAAGAATCAAAGATTTAAAGGGTATATCTACAAGGCAATGTGGCTTAGAAGGAAGTGACAGAAAGATTTATTTCAACGAGGATCTGCCAATGTCTAAGAGGGTACTTTTCAAGATGGCAAGGGAACTTAAAAAGCAAAAGGGATATAAGGCAGCTTTTTACCTCAATGGATCTGTTTACATCAAAACAAATGAAAATGAGCAAGCCATAAAAATTAAATGTGAGTCTGATTTGGACAAATTAAGATAGTATAGGTATAGTAAATGTTTTAGGAGATCTATAACAGAACTTGTAAGTAATAATTTTCTCTTTTTTAATGTCTATAAACAGTATTTTTGATGATTATAAGATCTTAGAAACAAACATATGTGATAACTTATGTCAAGTAGACTTCTTTAATAATTCTGTAAGCGACCTTAATTTTATGCATGTAAACATACGTAGTATTTATCAAAATTTTGACCAATTTTTGGTGTATCTTGAATAATTAAGTAAATCTTTCGATGTTATAATTATGTCAGAAACACACTATGTATACAATATAGACGATTTTAACATTCCTGGGTACAAAATATTCTTTAACGAAAGTAGTCTTAATCGATGTGATGGATCAATAATTTTTGTTAAAAATGAATATCATATTACAAATCAAATAATTCAAGAAAATAATTTAAAGATTATTAGTGTCACTTTGCAAAAAAATCATGCAACGGTTGTTCTCCTAGCTACGTATAGATGTTTTTGTATTTCTAAAGATGCGATTCCGCCAGTGTGCTGAACTGTGCGGCACTCTAATGCACAGTGTACAGCACAAATGTTTCTTCTGGTCGACTCACTCACGCAAACAATAGCAAATTGTGCGCGAACATTTCGGAAACGTTCGCGCACACATCAGCTACTTTTGTGCGCGCACATACAAGCAGTGGACTCGCGTCGGCGCGTACGAGTACATACTTGTTGTTGGCGAACAAAGTGTTGCTTCCACTCCTGGAGTGAAAACATTTGTTTGTACGCGCACTTCTTTTACGAAATTTAAAATGGACTGGACGAATGATAGGATTATAAAATTTATTCAAGCAATTGAAACTTATCCTCTTCTATGGGATTCCAGTCACCATGATTGTAAAAACACGACGCCACTCAAGAGTTGGCTCAAAGTTTCAATTGTGACTCGACTGAGGTAATGAGAAAATGGAAAATTATTTTGGCTCAGTACCGAAGAGAAAAGAAGAAAATAGCGGATTCAAAATCTTCAGGTTCGGGGTTTTCAGATATGATATTTGTTATTTTCTATTGTTTCAAGATGTAATGTTACTTTCTCTTGCAGTCGTGCTAACACAAATTTGATTTTGAAATCATCTGAAAGGGTTATGTGTTTGAATTATAATAGTATTTGTAAGTTTTGTGACATATTTTTATGTTCTATTTCGGAGTTAAAATGTGTTCTGCGGGAGCGCCTTAGATAGTTTTATAAGTTAGGCTTTTGTAATATTTCTAATTTAAGATTTTGGCCTATAAATGGAATATTATCTGTTGGGCAATAAAAGCTATAAATAAGCCTTATTGAAACAGGGACTCATTTTCTGTAGTTGGTGTCTTGCTTTGCAATATGAGGACTAAGTGCATTGACCAGCAACTCAAAATCTTCACACGATATACGAGTAAAATTTTTAAATCCACTTAAGGGATCTACTTTTATTTCTTCTACAAATATATTCGTTTCTTCATTCCATCGCTGCAGAAAAGGTCTCACCCAACATCGTGGTTTTCTTCTTCGTCTCTTTTTAAGCAGACTACCTATTAAAACACAAGCTGCGGCACAAAACACTACATATTCCCGCCCATCCATATTAAGAACTGAAGTTAGTGAGAACTTTGCTTAGTAAACATGTTCGTGCACAAGTGTGCTACACTGTACGCTTACAAAAGTTATGCACTGCTTTGCCGGTGGACACAGAAGATAAATTCGATAGCAGTGAGCACATTCAATGCTGGAGTTTCACACAAAATGTTTGTAAACAAATGTGCTGAACACTATTTTGGTGGAATCGTACCATAAGGATGAATTCATTGATAGTCTAGGAAGAATATTTCAACGTTCCATCACTGATCGGAACAAGGTTTATGTATTTGCTGGGGACATTAATATTGATCTCTTAGATAGGGAAACAGATACAACAAATAACTATTTGACTTTATTGCAAGGCTATGGGTTAATGAGTGCAATTAATAAATCAACAAGAATTACTGATAACAGTGGGACTTGTTTGGATCACTTTTTTATTAAATGTAAGAGTAATGTTTTTGAAAAGGTTAGGGCTGTGATTTTGAAGAGCGACCTTACAGATCATCACCCCATTCTCCTTAATATTCAGCTAGATAGATTAGGTGAGGGCATTACAAATGAAATTAATACTTTTACAAAAATAGATTATGAAAATATCACACAAAAACTAAACGGAGAGTTGTGGGGTGATGTTCTACAAGAAAATAATTTAGAGCTTTGCACAGAGGCTTTTATTAATAGACTAAAAGACATCATTTTGAAAGCCACTATAACTAGGCCTATACCCAATAAAAAAAAGAAATTAAAACCTTGGATCACTGGTGGCCTCCTAATATCTATTCGAAACAGAAACCTCCTTAAAAGGGAATGTGCACTAAATCCCAGCAATTTCGTAGTTTTAAACAGGTATCAGGAATACAGAAAATTTTTAAGTAAACTTATCAAGAAAGTGAAGTATAATTATTACAAAAATTTAGCACAGAAAAACTTGGATAACCTCAGAAAATTGTGTAATGTGCTTAGAGAGGCCACCAATGACCAAGAGACTAAACCAGAAATAAAATGTATCACTACCAAAACTAATTCAGAAATAACTGATAAAAAAGAAGTTGCAAATGAATTTAACAATTATTTTTGTAACATTGGTAAAAAATTAGCAAGTGAAATTACTAGAGGTACTTGGAGGAATGAAGTGCGGGAAAAAAGAGGTAATGAATCACTTTTCGTGTGTCCTGTGACGAATGATGATGTAATTAGGGAGATAAACTGTTTAAAGAATGGGGTAAAAGGCGGGGAGGATAATATTTCATCAAATATAATCAAGAAATATAAAGAAAAACTTAGTATTCCATTGAAACACATAATAAACCTAGTTTTTGGTACTGGTATTTTTCCACAAATATTAAAAAAGACCAAAGTGATACCTCTTCACAAACAAGGAGATAAAAAAGACATGAACAACTATAGACCCATTGCATTAACTAGTACAGTAAGTAAAATTATTGAGAAATGTCTGAAAAGAAAATTAATCCAGTTTTTGGAAAAGCATAAATTACTCAACTTAAATCAGTTTGGTTTCAGATAGTATTCTAACACTGAAGTTGCACTTGTCAGGGTCACTGAGAGTATTCTGAAAGGGTTAGACCAAGGAAAAAAGGTGATGGGTATATTTTTAGATCTAAAAAAGGCATTCGACACAGTGGCACATCTAATTTTACTAGGTCGTTTGGATAATCTGGGAATAAGGGGCATTCCAAATAAACTCATAAAGTCCTATCTTTCTGGACGTGAACAAATCACAAATGTCTCGGGTCAGGAAAGTAATATTTTGAAGGTAGAATGCGGGGTGCCACAAGGTACGGTTCTCTCAACTTTGCTGTTTATAATATACATAAATGATATAATGGAACAATTAAATGATGCAAACATAACTATCTATTGCTTTGCAGATGATACGAGTATTTTAGTAAGTGGTGAAGATTGGGATTCCGTCAAATTAAAAGCTGAAAGAGCATTGCACACAATTAAAAATTGGCTAGATTTTAGTTTGCTCTCTCTAAATATTGAGAAAAAAAATTTTATGACTTTTTCCCTTTCCTCGCGTACTTTGCCTAATCTAAACTGCATTAAGATTCATGACTCATATTGTGACTTTGCACCTCAGTGTGCATGTAGCAAATATATAAATAAGAAATCGAGCTTGAAATATCTAGGAATAATTATAGACGAACTTCTTACTTGGAAAGATCATGTAGAGTATGTTACAACAAAGATTAGAAAACTTATTCACAAATTTTATGAATTAAGGGAAATATTAGACTTCAGAACTCTTAAAACAGTTTATTTTGCTTTAACAGAATCTGTAATTAATTATGGTTTTGTAGTTTGGGGAAATACAAGTTTAACAACGTTATCCAAGTTACAGGTAACTCAGAAATGGATCATAAAAATTATGCTTTTCAAACAGAAACGATATTCATCTGAACTTGTTTTTAGAGACAGTAAAATACTGAACCTAGAGCAGCTCTATTTAAAATCACTTATAAGATTTATGATGAAATATGATTTATACAAAGAATACTTACAGCATGGCCAAAATACAAGAAGTGCTGCTCATGCAAAAGTAAAATTGCGAAACCCTAGACACACAGCTTGCCAGAGTCACGTTTACTGTATAGGTCCAAAAGTTTATAATGATGTGCCAAATAGTATTAAGAGATTGAGATATTCTACTGTTAGAAAGGAATTAACAAGATGGATTATTGATAGTCAATACGCCATTAATTATGTAATATAAAAACCTGTAGCATTAAAGGTAATAAGTTCCTAAAATTTAAGATAAAACATAATAGCTTTGAATTTGTTTCATCTATTTTTATATTTCTTTTTCTCTTTGGAAACTAGAATTAAGAACCTCAATGAAAAAGTTACACTTAACAATGTGA